CATTTAGAAATAACCCTTATGATGTATTAAACTCATTGATTAAGGTATTTGAAAACTTTGATACATATGATTAAAATCGTTGATCATTTACTAAAGTTATTGATATAATAATATTAGTTATTAACCTATGAAACAAATAAATAAAAACAAGGAGTAGTAATCTGCAAATTGAATCAACATCCTGTGTGTAATTTTTTTTTTAATTTTTATATACAATTCATGATAACAAGAATAAATTAAAAATAATGACCGTTGTTACTTCTTACCTTTATATTATAATCTTATTTTATTTTAAAAATAATTTTTTTATTTTCAATTGAATCATTGATTCCATTCATAATTTTTTATGATTATTTTTAATTACTCCTTATCTAAAATCCACCGTTGCTGTAAGTGGCAAAAAAAAAATGTAAGCGGCGCCGGTGCGACTCTAGAAAGGTAGCAAACGACATTTTGAAATTTGATTAAGAAATAGTATGGTAGAGCAAACGGTGGGCAGCAAATTTGCATTGCGACTGCGTCGCTCTGGATTTGTCGGCGGCGAACCAAGAGCCATACACTCATTCATTGCCGACATCTATCATCGCAATTTTTTATTCCTGCCTACTTTAGCATCATATATTTTTGAATGTCATCAACAGCCAAGGCATAATTTCTTCGTTCTTTTTTACATAAAAATTTAATGTAAAATGGAAACTGGAAGATGCTAATTGGCTCTCTCTCTCTCTCTGTCACATATATATGCTAACAAATCCATATTTATCTTTTTATTTTTTTTTAATCAAGTAAGATTCAAGCATTATTATTTTTTGGTCAAGCAAGATTGGCTTCATTCCAAAGTTTTAACTTTAAAAATTAAATCAAGTAAAGCTGGAAATTAAATGCATCGGCGGATTGAATTTGTCTCAATCATTGAACAGAAATTATTTTGCATCAACAAAATATTCTTAAAGCACCGTCAAGGAAGACTGAAAATGAATTGAAAAAATATGTAAAAATTTCTTTTATTGTTTATATAAATTATGTTTTGTGAAAATCAACAATTACTTATTAATTTGTCTGATCACAATTCTATCATGATCCCCGAAGAGATATACGTGCAAGTCAAGAACCGTGCATCTCATTTTTTTCTTTTGGTGATATAAAACGTGCATTTTTTTTTTATTTATGTCTTTGTAAGGACCACAAGCCCTGTATCATGTTGCTAGAATTAATAAGCATTTATTCATTCCATAAATTAGACCGACAAATTTATAAACAAATAAATAAAATAAGCACTTGATAAATTAATGAATATATTATTAATGAAAAACACTACTTTGATCAATCTTATGTTGAAGTCAATTATAAGACTTGATTATTTTAGAATTTAACTGTTATAAATTAATAATATAATTAACAAAAGAATGGGGGGAAATCACATCTTGCTATTAAAATAGAGATCAATGAACTTAAGCAATGAGATTTGTGACTTGTGTCAGAAAAATCTTAAGATTAACATTTTAAAGTTTTGATGATAATAGTGTATTATAATAAAATTAATAGCAATAAATTGGATGTTCCAAAGTCCAAGCCATGACTTTGAACTCTCGGGTTAGACCTGGGAGTTTGCTTTTCATGTTGCAACTCCTTAATTTCACCTAGACTTTGGAAAGAGAGATTTAAATAATTTTTTTTAGTAAAAGATATGCACCCTTATTATTAAATTAAATATTTATATATTTATTTTTTATTTATTTTTTGAAATTACATAATTAGTAAATTTTATGATTAATTTGATCATTAAAAATTAAAAGGTTAAAGCAAAAGGAAAAAAAAAGGATTAGTAACATAATTTATTAAGAAAAAACTAGTTATTAAAATTTCAAACTTCTATGAATAAAAATTTTAAGTTCAAATTTTGAGACAGAATTACCAGATGTAGTATGAGGGTGGAAAATTTTTAAAAGAAAGTTGATTTTTATATTAGTTTTATATTTTAGTTTTAATTTTTAGTTAATCATTTTTTTAATGAATAACTTCATAAATATCATTTTTTTAACATTTATTGTATAAATGATAGCTCCCATCACATTTAAAATAATTGAATATATATCAAATACATTGATAGT